GCATTTCTGTACATGACAGTGAAGAGTGTTCAGCAGACACTTTACTCTGGGCCATTCCCTGTTACTTAAAGAAAGGGAAGATATATGCTCGGACAGTTAAGAGGAAGATGAAATTGTTCTTGGGTGTTAAACAGAACATGAATGACCTCAGCAAGAGTTTTCCCAAACCCTGAGGCAGAGGAGGAAGAGAAGGAAGACTCTGCTGATTCTCTTTTTTGTTCTGACTGGACTGGAGGCTGAAGTGGGGGCTGAGGCAGAAGCACTAGGGTGGGAAAGTTTGCAGAACTTTCTACAGCCTTCAGTGCTTCCCCCACCCTCTTCTTGCACCCAAATCTCCTCCACAACTTCCCTGCCAAGGGAGGAAGGAGGAACACATTAGTCAGCTCAATAATTTATATGAATTGAAAAGTTTACTCTATGAAATGAAGGCCGCTTGTGAGGGCAGCAGAGAAAGAAAAATGTCTAAGTGCTGTTAGTAGCCATAGAGTCCATTCCACATGGAGACTCCTTGTACGCAGAGGAGAATCTCTCCACAGGGGTTTTTAAATCATCAGACCTGTCTTGTCAGGTGCCTCTGGATGAGTATGAATTGGTGTTATGTGCTGTTGAGTCTACTATGACTCATAGCAACCCTATGAACAATGGCTCTGAAGCCTGCCCTGAGCCAACCTCACCATCTCTGACACATCTGCCCCCAATTTTCACAGTCACTGTGTCAGTCCCTCTCACCCGAGGTCTTCCTCTCCTGCAATGACCTTCTACCTTTCTCAGCATGGGGTCCTTATCCAAGAACTGGTCCCTCCTGGCAACATGCTCAAAATATGTAAGATGGGAGTTTCAAAATCCTTGCCTCCAAAGAGCATCCTGGTTTCACTCTCTCTAGGACAGACGTGCTTGTTCTTTTGGCAGTCCATGGTATCTCTGACACTCTTTTCCAGCATCATCAAAAGCATCTATTCTTCTTCACTATCTAAGTCACAGTCCGGCTTTCTGATGCATAGCAAGCAATTGAGAAGACCAGGCACACCTTAGCACTCTGGAGAGGTTCCTGACAACAGACTTTCCCAAAACAACTCATCTTTTGATTTCCTGACTGCTAGCGCCAAGAGTGTTGATTATGGATCAGAGCAAGATGGAATTGTTAACAACCTCAATCTTTTCTCCATCTATCATGGTGCTGCCAATTGTCCTGGTAGTGTGAATCTTTGTTGTCTTGATGTTGAGCTTCAATCCATATTGAGAACTGTAGTCCTAGACCTTCTGCAGCAAATGATTCAGGTCCTCCTCAGTCTTAGCAAGCATGGTTGTGTCGTGTGCATAACACATGTTGTCAATGAGTCTTCCTCCAATCTTGATGCCACATTCTTCTTCATAAAGTTTGACTAGCCATCCTTTTGACTAATAGTCAAGCACTTAAGTATTTGCACCACTTAGGAATTCTTTTTAAAAGAAAAAAAATCCCGAGTCATCCTTTAAAGGATGGAAGATATGGAGAAGACGATTCTTCTTCTTTTGTTTTTTTAAATTCCCTTTCTTTCTTTTCCTTGTTGTGTACCATCAAATCAGATCTGACAGGCACAGGAGGAGATTGCCTTTTCCAGCAGAGCATCTGGTGGCTTTGAACCATGGCCTTCGGGACTGCAGTGTAGCTTCTTGCCACAGGCCACCAGAGCTCCCCTGAGATGACACTTCTTGATGACTTTGTCCTGGAATATAGTGATCACATTGTCTAACAGGTGGATCTGAAACAAGCAAGTAGTTCTTGCCTTTGATGGTCAGCAAAGTTCTGTCTCCTTCCACTGGTGGGATGGTGTCAACCTTTGTGCTAACAGGTGGAGACACTGAAGACCGCAGGCACGGACTTAGAGAAGTCTGGACAGGACTATGGGTACCTGTCTTTGACAGGGGTTCTCAGGCTTGGCAGACCATCAGAATCATCTGGGGAGCTCATTAAAAATTTAGATTCCCAGGAACCAGAAGTTGATGAGGTAGATCTGGACTGGGGCCCAGGAATCTGCATTTTCAACAGGCAGGCTCAGTTTAGAATCAATGGCCTGGTCTGGCCAATCTACGCAGCTATCAAAACCTTGGAAGAATTGACATAAGAACAATACGGCTACTGCTATTACCTAATAGGAACAGGATATGTGTAACTGTCCAGAAGGGGAAAGGGAATGGGAAACCAAGGGTGGAGGGGAGGAGAGAAAATAATAATTCTATAAAACACAGCGTACATATGTGAACGTAGAAAACACAAGGTACGTGAGTGGGAAAAAGGCATTGATCAAAATGAATTGTATAAAACACAATTGATCAAAATGAACTGTATAAAACACAATGTATACAAATGACTGCCTAAAACACAATGTACATGAATGAAGTGCAATGTGTTTCATTCATATGAATGACTTTATGAAAACCAGTAAAAAAATTTAAATTAAAACCAAAACAGAACACAAAAATGTACACATCAGACATTGGCTTGCCCTCAAAGAAAACTGAGGTGCCAAGTGGCTTGGAGGCAGAATTTGGACTAGAACTCAGATCTCTTGCCTCCTGGTGTGACTCTTTTGTGGACGCCTCCACACGAAGCTTCTGTCCTATAGTGCATTAGTTCTCTTTAAGACCCCTGAGAAGCAGGAGGACCCATTTATCTAACCCACAGAGCAATCAGAGCTGCCAGGAGCTTTGGCTGAGTCCTCATTTGGTTCACTGGTAGAGATGCCTCGCAAGTGGCTGAGGTGAAGACACTTTTGAGGGCACTGTCAGAAAGCTATGCTTTGTGTCCTACGGGTTAAAAGAGCACGGTCTCACGGATGCCCATAAGACACATCACCAAATTGTTGTGAGCAGGAGAAACAGTCCATTCACTGAAGTGCCTGCCGTGTTAGAGAAGGCAGAGCAGTGCTGGCAGAGTGTGAGAAGAGCAGCAGTAGATGAGGCTGTAGAGGTAGTTTGAGGCCAGGCCATACAGGGCTCTTTGGCTTTTACTCTGAGCTTCTGTAGGACTGTGAGCAGAGAAGTGACATAATCTGACATGTTTTCATGGAAAGAGTCTGGATGTCAGCAGCCTAGTGGGTAAGGAATTGTGCTCCCAATCCAAAGGCAGTAGGTTCAAATCCACCTGCTGCTCCTGTGTGATGGCTAGCCTCTGAAAACCCACTGGAGGGTCAGATATCAGTTAGTTTTGACTCAAGGGCAATGAGTTATTTTGGGGATGATTCACACTGTCCCAGGGGACAGATGATGGTGGCTCAGAGCAAGGTGGTCAGAATGCAGTTGAGAAGTCACTGGACCATGAATGATGATGATGATGACTTTAAAAAATATTTTACAGTAGAACCAGCATATTTTCCGATGGGTTGGATGTCATGGGTGAGCCTCAAGAGTAGAGCCAAGGATGGTGCCCAGAGATTTGGTTTGAGCAACTGGAAGATTGGAGTTGGCATCCACTAAGCTGGAAGAGGCTGTGGGTGGAGGAGAACATGTGGGGCCTCTACGAGGAAAGTGCTTCAGGAGGTCAGCTATGACATGGTGAGGTTGAGATGTTAAATGAATGAGGGAAATGCTACCTGGGCTATTGAACACATGGGCCTGGAGAACAGGAGAAGCTGGAGGTACATTTTCAGGCATCTTTGGCACCACGAAGTATCTAAGTAAAGTATTAAGCTGAATTGAGACTGATGTGATTAAGTTTCTGAGCAGACAGAGGAATCTGTTCCTAGGTAAAAAAGAAGAGTCAAGGATCTTGGGGACCCTCCGGTGTCAAGAGGTCAGAAAGAAATGAAATTGACTGAAGAGCCTGAGAAGTTGTGACCAGCAGGGAATGAGGAAAACAAGCTAAGTGTGGAATCCGGAAATCAAGTGAACAATGTATTTTTAGGAAGAGGGAGAGATTAACTGGGCTGAATGGCATTGAAAGGTGCAGAGAGATGACTGTTGGATCTGGTCACTTGGAGGACACTTGTAATCATGACAGGAGAAGCATTTACCCAGTTTGACTACTGACTGTCATTTCTTGTTGTTAATGTACCATTGGGTCTGAATTGACCATAGCTGACCCTCCAGCAGGCTTTCACACAAGAGATTGCTCATTTTTATCCCATGCTGCAGCTGGTGGATTGGTACCATGCACATTTGCACTGGCAGTGCAATTCCTACTGGAGAAGAGTGTTGAATATAACATGGACTTCTAGGAGAACAAACAGGTCTGTTCGGGAGAGGGTGAAGCCAGGATGCTCCTTGGAGGCAAGGATTCTGAAGTTTTGTCTGACATACTTTGGGCATCTTGCAAGGACGAACCAGTCTTTGGAGAATGAGAACATGCTTGGATGGGTGGAGGGACAGCGCAAGAGACGAAGACTCGGGATGAGACGGATTGACTCAGTGACTAGGATAACAGTGGTAGGTGTGTCACAGACAACGAAATTGGCTCAGGATAGAGCAGGGTTCAGGGCTGTTGTACATAGGGTTGCTGTGAGTTGGAGTTGACCAGACAGCATATACCACATACCACCACCACCACCACCACCACCACCACCACCACCACCACCACCACCACCATCAGAGATCCCCAACTGTCATTTGTTGCTATAATGACCTATAAACAATAGCTCTGAACCATACCCTATCCTGAACCAATCTGTCTCTGACACATCTACCCCTTATTACCCCAGTCACTGTGTCAATCCAGCTCATCCAGGATCCCTTTCTCCTGCACTGAACCTCCACCCTTCCAAGCATGATGTCCTTCTCCAAGGACTGGTCTCTCCTGGTAACATGCTAATCTAAGGCTCCCTTATTGTTGATTTTGTCTTCTCAGTTAGCTTATAAACTTTGCGTCACCAGCAATAAGAGTCAGCATGTTCCCCAGAGCATAGGTTCTCTTTGGCTGGTATGTCTTAGGGACCTCCTGTTGATCTTTACACACTTTGCTGGCAGACTCACCCGAACACTCCTTTCCACTCACCACCAGTAATCACCCTTAGTGCCCGACTTACCTTGGACACAGAATTTCAGTTCCTTGGGGTCCGTGACAACCTTCCTGCTCTCTCGGATCACAGCCCGGTTCTTCTTGGTTTCTCCCCAGAGGTTGGTACCTCCGTACATGCTAGGAATGTTGAGAATGGCGACGCCTTCAAGAAACACATTGCTCAGGTCCACTTCAACCCCATCACACTGGGGACAGAGAGAAAAAGGCCACCTGTTAGTGCCCTCAGTCTATCCCAAGTCAAGGTGCTATAGGTGTGCTGGAGGGCTGATGAAAGACCCTCTGATCACAGCTCTGCCTCCATCAGCAGCCGAAGCTTGGGCAAAGTTGCTCATGTCTGATGTTTGGACTGCTGTAGTCCTGGTCAACTCTAGGGACAGTCATCCCTAGCTATACAGACTACAACAGGCACAAGAGTCTTTCAGGGCAACTGCAACATTATTTTCCAACGCAAACTTACTGTTGTCCATTCTGCCCCTTCAGAACCATTCTGAAGGTTTAGTGAGACACTGAACCCAGAATCTAACCTTAACGAAATTCTCACAAATAACAGGAAAAACTTCATCGCCTCCCTCCTTGCTGTGAGAAGGGTAAGAATTTTGGAACATGGAAAGCTTTCCAAATATTCCTGTCTCTCCTATCTGTATGGTAAGTGCACTTTTGGCATATGTGCTGGCTGATGTAGTAGTTTCATTATCCAACCTCTACCATGCACACCCCCCTTGAGGTACAAAAGGCTGAAAGGCTTGAATTTGCCAGCCTTTTGTGTCTATACGGTCAGCCCACTTTTGCACGATGCTCAACCATATAGTATGAAATATATTAGCTCTGATCCTCATTCCTTGGGATCATAGGCAGTCCACTTAATTTTACAAAAGTAAAAATAAACTCAGAGGGATGGGCTAAATTATCAACACCACCTGGGAACAGGGCTTTCTCTGGCGGCATAGTCTGTAGGGTTTCGCACTGTTGACCAGAAGGCCTTGACTTTCTGGTAGTTCACCTGTTTGGTGGTTCAAATCCATCTGCATTCTTGGGAGAAAGATGAGCAATCTCCTCCGGAGTGATTTACAGCTTCAGAAACTGAATGGAGGGTCGGTTATGAGTTGGTTCTGGTTAGCAAGGCAATAAGAGTTTTGTTATGTTAATGAGATCATTGCCAATTGTTGTTGTTATTATGTGGTGTCCAGTCAACTACAACTCATAGTGATCTAATGCACAATAGCTCTGAACTCTGCCCTGTCCTGAGCCAGTCTCACTGTCGCCAACATACCTACTCCCGCTACCCCAGTTACTGTGTCAATCCATCTCATCCAGGGTCTTCCTTTCCTGTGCTGTCCGTCCACTCTTCCAAGCATGGTGTCCTTTTCCAGGGACTGGTCCCTCCTGGCAACATGCCCAAAGTATGTGACACAGAGCTTCAATATCCATGCCTCCAAGGATCAAGTTTGTCTCAGCCTCTCTAAGACATATGTATTAGTGTCAGTCCATGGTATGTTCAATACTTTTCTCCAACACCACAACTCAAAGGCATCAATTCTTCTTCTCATCTTTGGTCATTGTCCAGCTCTCTGATGCGCAGCAAGGAACTGGAAAGATTAACTGCCTGTATCAAGTGCATCCAAGTCTCTTAACTGACATTGTTGCTCTTCATTACTCTGGAGAGGTCCCTGACAGCAGATTTTCCTCATGTAACAGTGGAATGGTGCAAGCTGAAATTGTTAATAATTTCAGTCTCTTCTCCATCTATCTCTGTTCAAGGCATATTTTCACATTTTAAACCAATCCATTTTGGTTATTTGAAAGGTAGTTTTTATTTTTTGTGGTTTTTTTTTCTTTATTACAGTGGATGACAGCAGCCCAGAGTAAGAAACACATCATTGCAAAGAAGACTGGTGGTGGTGGTAAGTACATAATTATACAACAATGAATATGTTTTTTTTTAAGTGAACTGGGGAGGGTGAAGGGAGGGTGAGGAAGTAAAATGTGCAAGAATGAATGAATGAAAATCTAACTTCTATTTAAACATTCATGAAAATCACAATTGAAATTATTTTTTAAAAAAAAAACCCAAATGCAATCCCACTCTTTTTGAGTTGGTTCCAAGTCACAGTGACACTCTGTGTCAGGTTTCTGAGGCTAAACATTTTAACAGGAGGAGACTGCCCATCTTTCTCCTGCCGAGTCACTGGTGGATTCAAACCGCTGGAGGTAGGAAGCCTTTGTAATCAGCATAACTTACTAGAGATTATGCCCCTAGGGCTCCCTTTACATCATTCAGAGACACTCAAACCCAGACCCAGGGTCTTATGTTTCTGTCCATTGATTTCATCTGGCTTTCGGGTCAGGATGTCTCCAACCCTCTCAAATAAGTCTTACTTCTGTAACACTTGATCATAGGAAGACCCTCAAGGAGATAGACTGACACGGTGTTTGCGACAGTGCACTTTAGCACAAGAGAGATTGTGAGCGTGGTGCAGTCAGGGGGCTGTGCTTCATTCTGTCACGCTCAGGGTCGCTGTGAGCTGGAGCTGATTTAAAGGAACCTAACAACCTTCCCTGTATGAAAGCTCTTTGTTCCCCAGACTTTCTGAAATGAGCCTTCCTCACTTCAGTGCCCAGCATCTCACCGCATGATTATCACCTCCTAGACTTCATGGTGAAATTTCGTCTCATGTACTTTGGCCATGTGTTAGGAGAGGGCCAGTCTTTGAAGAAGAGCATCATGCTTGGAAAGGTGGAGGGTCAGTGCAAGAGAGGAAGACCCTCAACAAGACGGATTGACTCAGTGACTATAACAACGGGCCCAGGAAATCAGGGATGGTGAGGGTGGCGCAGGATGGGACAGGGTTCATACGGCTGCGATGGACTTGACGGTACATAACAATAAGATGCTAGGGTTTATTGCCCTGAGGTTGTAGTAATTTCCTTATCCCTTCCATGGGAGAGGTGGTAATAGTAATACTACGGCCCCTGCTTGGTGAGGGCTTCCTTGTTAGGGACACTGGTGGTCGGTCCTTCATGTGCATTCTCTCTTGGGATCCTCATATGACTGCAACGACTGAGGCACCAACGCGTGAACTGACACGCCCTCCCAGGGGTTAGGCATGTGTGCGGGGTTACGTAACTCTTGTATTCGGCAAGGTGGGAGAGCTGGACTGCAAACTCAGGCAGTCAGGTGCCAGCTCCTGCTCTGAAGATGAAAGCCTCTTTGAGGCAAGTGGAAATTCTTGCTGATACTAGACTTACAGAAAAAGTAAACTTCCAGTAGCTATTTGAATAATTGAAGCCTCTCACCAATACTCTGTCTTGCAGAATGCTTAGAACAGTGCCTGGCACATCAGTGGTGGACATTAGTATGTGTCTTGCCTTTATGCCAGTTTTGTAATAAAAACAATATATACCACCAGCACAGTCTTTGACATGCAGTGTTTGATAATGTCACCTTTCTTCCCTAGTACAGTTTTAAATTTAAACTAAATCCCTCTAATCTCTAGCTATAATCTTCATTTGTTGTTATGTGTTGTTGCTATGTGAACTATGAGTCAAACCTCTGAGCAATAGTCCTGCCTCCTGCCCTATCCTGAGCCAACCTCACCATTTCTGACACACCTACCCCCACTGTCACAGTCACTGTGTCAATTCATTTCATCCAGGGTCTTCCTCTTCTGTACTGACCCTCTACCCTTCCAAGCATGAGGTCCTTTTCCAAGGACTAGTCCATCCTAACAACATGCCCTAAGTATGTGAGATAGAGTTTCAAAAATCCTTGCCTTCAAGGAGCAAGTTTGTTTCATCCTCTCTGGGAGAAATTTGCTTGTTCTGTTGGTGGTCCATGGGATGTTCAAGACTCTTCTCCAGCATCACAACTCAAAGGCATCAATTTATTCCATCATCCTTAGTCATGGTCTAGCTCTCTGATGCACAGCAAGAAATTGAGACAATCATGGTCTGGATCAGGCATACCTTAGTCTTTAGACTGACATCGTTGCTCTTTAGCACTTAGAAAAGGTCACAGACAGCAGGCTTTCTTAAAGCAACTTGTCTTTTGATTTCCTGACTGCTGTTGCCAAGAATGTTGACTGTGGACCCGAGCAACATGAAATTGTTAATGACCTCCATCTCTTCTCTATCTATCATGATGCTGCCAATTGGCCCAGTGGTGAGAATCTCTGTTGTCTTGATGTTGAGATACAAGCCATACTGGAGACTTCTGTCCTTGACCTTTTGCTGAAGGTCAGAATCTTTAGTGGCATTCTGCAATTGACTTCCTTGTGATTACAGCTCCCCTGCCTTCTTTGCCCTTGTGCCTCAATGATTCCTCCACCACTTGAGACCTTACTCGAAGCATTCTGATGCCCTCTTCACTGGACCCATGTATCAGTAAGTCTTGCCAGCCTGTATGCCTGCTTGCTTGCCCACTCTCCAGAATTCTCAACCCCAAACCATCCATCACTAATCTCTTTCACAACCCCAGGCCTGCTTAGGCCTTAGGGAAGGCTTGGAGCTGCCTCACTGGGGATAGAAAAGTGGAGGCCAGAATGAAACATTTGCCTAAGTAGAGCAAAGACACAGGCTCCCAGGAGAGTTACTAGACTAAATCCTCCAATCCTTCCATGACATCACAGGCCATCTGCCCCTCCCCCGGCCCTCCAGAGGAGAGTGTAAGCAGGACAGCACTTCATCTGCCATCCCTAACCTGGGACTACAGAGCCCTGGTGGCCTAGTGTAGGAAGCTGTGCTGCAATCCCAAAGGCTCACAGTTCAAATCCACCAGCTGCTTCATAGGACTGGCAATCTCCTCCCATGTGATTTACTGCCTCTGAACACCCATTGGAGGGTCAGCTATGAATTGGTTTCCATTCTATAGCACAGAAAAATGAACAAACAACAACCATGTAGGACTGTATCCCTGTGGCATCTTGGCTGTTTGTCAACTGAAAGGTTGTCAGAATATTTAAATTGGAGAGAGAGAGGAAGGCAGGGAGGAAGGAAGGAGGGGGGGAGAGGGAGACAGAGAGGGGAAGGGGAGGTGAAGGGAGGGGGAGAGAGAAAGAAAGAAAGA